TCAATCGCGTCGGGCATATTCAGGGGACTCGGGCTGTAGCAGAGGGTTGAAGGGTAAGGTGGTGCTGAGAAGGGAGGGGCTTGGATATAAAGAGTCTGCCAAGAAGGTACAGCACACCCAGAGTCTATCCTGCAGGTGATGGCAAGCCACTGGCCTTTCTAAATGAGGGGGTGAAGTTATAAATAAAGGCACCATCTAGGGAAGGTAGATCCAATGCAAATAAATCAGATGGATGGAAGTGGAGTTCCACGGCAGGGAGGCCAGTGGAGCAGCACCCAGCCATAAAGATGAAACAGGCTGCTGCAGAGAATGATCCGGCAAGAATGGAGGCACTGGAAAGCCAGAATGGAATGACGTGGTAACTGAGAGGACATGGAGGTAAAGAAGAGGAAGGCCTGGGAGAATCACAGGATGGCCTAGGCCTTGGGGATTTAAAGAATAAGCATGCTCAAGTAATGACAGGAAGCTCGAGTGGAAATGACACCTTCTCACCATGATCTAAAGCGTGGACCTGGAGCTCGGCACAATGGCAGGGCTACAGCTGCGATGCAGAAATCCCCTGCGAGTTGTGGTGGGGAGAGTAGAGGCAGAAGGCAGGAAGGACAGTACAGGGTTGGGGAGCAGTCCCTACCTGGGGGTGACAGGGAAGGAAGATGGAGCAGTAGGAGAACTGAATGTGGAGGGAAGCGCTGGTGTAACACAGCATCACAAGGCTGGGAGACCAGAGTTTCATGACAGAGAAGACAGTCTTCAGAATGAAGACTGATAAATGGCCATGGAATGTGCTCCCTGGCAAGCTGGAGAAAGAATCTGAGCAGAGTGCATGAGGCAGAAGCCAGATGGAAACTGGTAAAGAAGGAAGTGGACGCTGAAGAAATGGAGGCAGCAGGAGGAGGTTAATTCAATGTTCTTCAGAGTACCTGTGAGATACCAGGCACTGTGGGAGATGACAGACAGAAGACAGACCTATCTAGCCCATAAGAGCTGCTTTAAAGGAGCACATCTGGCAATAGTAAAATGCAAAAGGGAAGGACTACATCTGGCTGGAGATGACTGGAAAAGTTTTAGATGAGGTAACAATTTCAGCAGGGTCTTCAAGAATGGAAAGGGCTTCAGCAATTCGCAATGGGATAGAAAGGCATTCTAGACAGACAAGTCAATAAAGAAAAGGCAGTGAAAGAAGACAGAAAGCTAGAGCTGCAGGTGGTGACATCACTAACAGAATTTTTTTAAAAAAGATTCACATGGAAATTTACATACAGATTAAAGAGCCAAAACACTTTCATCAAGAACACATTCCGCAAGCAGACCATGATGATCCCATGAAGCAGAGTAACCAGTAAGAGTGTTTAAAAGTTAAGATGTCAAGGAAGGTGGTGTGAAAAGGGTGAGTTTTCAATTCTTTTAAAGAAAAACAAAGAAGGGCAGGCAGAAAGGAGGGCATGCTCCTTGCAGACCTGGGGTGGTTACGGAATAACACTTTGATTTCCTAGCTAAAGAAGGATGGCCACGGTAAAGAATATTACAAAATGAGGCTGGTGAGATGGGGCAGAGTGGAAGGAAATGGTTTGCTGGGTGGGAAACCTCACCAGCTGGGTCAGTCCTCTGACAGCAAGAGGGATTCTGGCGAGTAAGCCCATACATGAGAAAAAAGAAGTACATGAGAAGGATTCTTCTAAAGGAGCTGGACAAAAAACAGGAGAGAAGGAGTGTGAACTGGAGGGAGGCCCTGCTGCCTGGGGTGTAGAGGACCCCATCATGGGAGACGCTTAACACTGGCAAGGGATAATCCAGGCTCCTCTCTGCCCCCCAAACTGTACTTTCTACTTGAGCACATCATTTTATATATAAGGCAAACATATCTAAGGCAGGAATATATTTACACATTTACTGATGGTCTTCACCTCACACTTACACTGAGTATCTAGTACCTCCAGCCCAAGTCTTTTCTTGTTCTCCAAAACAGACGTGCAGTAAAATGAATGGTTAATGGTTAATGGAAAATGGAGTAAGAGTTTATGGATGTTGGACAGCAATGATTACTTATTCTGCATGAGCTCATGATTTCACAAGTTTAATTTAAAATCATATACCATGTATATGCTGACATATACATAAAATATAAATATACACTTGACATAAATATCTACACTTGATCTTAGCCAAAAGGCTGAGAAGCGATTATAAAATATATCTGAAAAAATACCCTGTTGGAAATAGCAGTTGCTTCCAAGGAGGGGAGTTGGCTAGGTGGCCAAAGAGCTACAAAGGAGATTTACTTCGGCATATAATATTTAAATTTTCTGTCATGTGCATATATTGCTTATCAAGAAATAACATTCAAAAAAATGCAATGGCATTTTATTTATATATATTGTATCCACTGAGAAATTGCTGTAATAAAGTTTGCTTTTCCCCCAGATGCCTGGGACTCTACAATTCCTAATGGTGATACCAACTCCACAGGTTTTGTGGCACTAAATAGAAAACTGATTGAAAACGTAAAGACGACAGATAGGAAATCCCACATGCAAACTCTACACAAAGGCAAAAATGTAAACTGGAAAACAATTCATAATGTCCCCTCCTTTATCAGCCTTCAGCACAAGTTTGGCACAAGCCTTTCTGATTTAGTATCTCAGCAACCTTGTGAGAAAAGAGACAGACAAAGCACCACATTATTGAAGTCATGGGGCCAGGCACTGGGTGTGAGGTGTAACACGACCATTTGGAAAGCCCGGAAGCTTTCTCTATTTATAAAATTCTAAGTTGGCCCCATCTCTGTCTTTTTCTCTCTCCCCACCTGCTTTCCTCCTTTATTTACTAATTCCCAAAGCTCAGATCTTTGTCCCTACTCCTCTTCTACAGCTCCTGGTGAAAACATTCCTCTTTCTTTAGGCGTACTCCTACGGCTCTACGTGTGACTGAATTGGATTTCGAGTCTCTTCGCCAGTCAGTAACTGTGTGATCTTAGGTTTCTTTGGTCTTCAGTTCTTCTATAAAATAAACAATCAGTAGTCTTAGCCATCTGAAGCCAGGGACTACATCTGATGATCCTCTTAGATTCCTCCTAAGATTCTACACTAAGTATCAACTGGATATGGTCAATCTATTATTTCTGTTTTCTTATCTAAATAAGATTTTCCTCCTACTTTTCAGCAGTAGCAATATTGTTAGCTAATCATCATCATACATTAATTTTTGGTTCTTTTGTTATTATTTATTTTCCTTTTTTAAAATTATTATTTTTCTTGAGACAGGATCTCACTCTATCACCCAGGGTGGAGTGCAGTGCTGTGATCACAGTTCACTGTAGCCTTGACCTCCTGGGTTCAGGTGATCCTCCCACCTCAGCCTCCTAGACAGCTGGGACTATAGGCACACACCACCACGCTCAGCTAATTTTTGTAATTGTTTTTGCTGAGACGAGGTTTTGCCATGGTGCCCAGGCTGGACTCAAACTCCTGGGCTCAAGTGATCTGCCCTTCTTGGCCTCCCAAAGTACTAGGATGTGGCATGAGCCACAGCACCCGGCTAATTCTTTATTTTCAAGAAGTCACTGAGATTGTTAGTCCTTTTTTAAAATACCATTCACTTTTAACCCTTCCTCAGTTTCTCATATCCTTACTGTAGGCTAAGTTATCACTTTAAGTATACACTATTATTACTATAACTTTCAAATAGTCTACCTGCCCTCAGTTGCCTCCTTTTTGTGTTCATCAGCATGAATTCTAGTGACTGAACAGCCTGCAAAATGCCAACCTTTCCCAGCATCAACCATCACTTTTCCTCCTTCCTCTCCTCCACCTACCAAAGCTAATTTTACTTCCAAAATATTGACCATATCCCTTGCCTCCTCTGTGGTGTTGCACGAAAGAGTACTCACCAAAACTTCTGCTAAACCACTATTTACCTATTCTGGCCTCAAAGTGAAGGACAGATGGTGACATTTGCAAGCTTGTTTTCAAATACAATCTAATAGGAACCAGTATAGCAGCCGAAGAGCACAACTGCACATATTTCTAATGTCCATTCCCAAGCTACGTTATAAAATTATAAAATCATTCTCTGAACTGATTTTATTTTCTTCTCTTGGATAAGGGCACTATCTACAGCAGCGATAAGTTTCCATAGGAACTAAATTCATTTCAAAAGGTTTGAACGTAGAGGATTTTTTAAAAGTGCTCAAACAACATACCATTTTGTATATAGTGCCTTGCATTCTTGAAATCAGAGCATTGTAAATGTTAACCTTTTAATCTCCTGGAAGTTCCTGAAAATGAGAAAATGGTCTCTCTGTATTTGGAAAATGGATACATTTAAGGTAACTAACTGGCAAGGAAAAGAACTTAGGAGGTGAGCTGCTAATTTGTACTGTCTCATCTTTAGCATTAAACATAACTAATCACACATGATAACACCATTTATTAATCCTTGGAAAATAAGTGCATCATGCATTCAGTAGTTAATATTTTCCAACTTAATACTCCATATGTTAAATATAAAAACCAGAAGAAAATACACCTTCAACATATTTTGTAGCTAATAAATGTGAGAAGTTTATACGGGTGTATAAGCACACTGAACTGCACGTGCCTCTGTGAAACATCCACACGATAACTCTGTAATTTGAAAATTCTAACATGCTTCTTTTTTTATTCTGATTAAATAAGGTATTCAGTACTGATGCCATAAGAAGGCATTAAATTCCAACATATCCCTTTGTATTACATAAATGGATTTCATCATTTTTCAGAGGACAGGCAAGATTTAGCAAATTGGCTTAACATTCTAATCTGCTGCTGATACTAAAATGAACAAGACCAACTATGAGGTATAGAAAACAACAATCTACCACACAAATTCTCCAAATGATTATGATGAGTCTCAGACACGAGTATTCCAGAGGTAGAATCTCAATGATTTCTACATAAAGGGATAATGATGTATTACCGTAGGACCAAATAATGCATTTCTCAATTCATGTCTGGACTGGATTCACCATGCTGAGCTCCATTCATTTTACATCTCCCTAAGGGTTCCAATTCAGCAGTATTAATATATGCCATTACACACAGCCCAATCTAAGAATGGCTGCCTTATGAATGTCCCTTAATACCACTCCCCAGTTGAGTGTTTCTGGAGAAAAATCTCAAAACTAGGGTAACTAGAGTCACTATAAATTCATAAACAGACACTAAATCCTGCCACAGTGTTATGGCACTTCTTTGGTAAACTCACTCTCTCCCCATTACCAGGATTATTCATGCCATGTCCAGCCTCCTCAAAAATCGCACCCTGTTTTTTTTTCCCCCTTTCCACCCTTGGCTAATGTGCTGACCTGTTGTTTCATTGAGAAAAAAAATAAGTCAAAAGATAACTCCCTCATCTTCTCAACATAAGATCTGGATCTGCACACATCTTCCCCTTTTTTATTGTTACTTTTGAGGAAGAGCGTCTCTCTCATCAAAAGAAAAGCAATCCCTATGCACGGATCCAATACTTACCTTCCCCTACCCTGCTTTCTAGTGGGATTTTCTCTCCTGAGATGGTTCTCATGTGCATTCCAGCATTCTCTAGAACAGTGCTACCCAACAGAACTTTCTGCAGTGATGGAAATGCACTAAATCTATCCTGTCCAACATGGTGGTCACACCACTGGTGGCAACTGAGCGGCTGAAATATGACTAGTGCAGCAAAGGAAATGCAAGTTCTATTTTACTTAATTTTAATACATTTGAGCAGTCATAACTGGCTAGTGGCTACCATGTTGTTGGAAGCACAGCTCTAGCAAATACCCTTTCAATTTCTGCCTCTACTTCCTTACCTCCCATCCATTCTTTTCTATCCATGCCGAAGTGGCTTTCATTCAACTGTTGGATAGAAGTGCTCCTGCTAAACCAGAGGCCTCAAGTGGCCAAATCCAGTGATTTTTACTAGACATCTTACAGGGCTCCATCAGCACAGACTTGTTCCAGTAAATTGCCCCTTTCTTGAAAAGCATTTCCTGGCTTCCATAATACTATACTCTCCTGTTTTTCCTCCTGGCTCTCTGGCTCATTGCCATCTAACTGATCCCTCAATGTTGGAATTTCCTGGGGTGATGGTCCTGGAGGTCTTTCTGCTCTTCTTTCCCTCTTCTCTCCACAGATACCTCAAACATTCTTATAGCTTTAAATGCCCTCTGTGTGCTGGTCTCTATCTAATTTGTATCTCTAGCCCAGCCCTTATAGGTGACTGACTACTGCTATTTACATGGAAGGCATTATAGGTACCACATGTTTAAAACTGAACTCAATTCCCTCCTCTACCCCCAGTTTATTTTTTTTCCTCCCCATCTCAGTAAATAGACCCTCCAAAATCCGCAAGTTGTCCTTGTTACCTCCCCCCTTTCCCCCTTTCATTCCCAGTATCCATTCTGTCACTGAGTCTTATCTAAATTCTAAAGCAGATCTGGAATTGACTACTTTTTTTTTTCTTCGTAGATGGAGTCTTGCTGTTGCCCAGGCTGGAGTGCAGTGGTATGATCTCAGCTCAATGCAACATCTGCCTCCCAAATTCAAGCTGATTTTCCTGCCTCAGCCTCTCCAGTAGCTGGAACTACAGGTGTCTGCCACCACGCCCAGCTAATTTTTGTATTTCCCGTATAGACAGGATTCTACCAGGTTGACCAGGCTGGTCTCAAATTCCTGACCTCAAGTGATCTGCCTTCCTTGGCCTCCCAAAATGCTGGGATTACAGGTGTGAGCCACTGTGCCTGGCCTGGAATGGACCACTGTCTATCTCCATTGCCATTATCCTAGTCCAAGCCACCATAACCACTTGCCTGGACTATTTCAACAGTCTCCCACAGCATTCCTTCAATTCCATTTTTAGTCTCCCACTCTCATCTCTACCACAATTTATTATCAAACCAACAACCAGCGTGCCCCTTTTAAACTACAAATCTGGTCTTACAACTTCTAGGTTACAACCCTAACCCTTCAAGATTTCCCACCTCTCTTAGGATACATCCAAAATACTGATTATGACCTCCTAGGTCCTCCAAGATGTAACCCCTGCCTCCATCTCTCTACTATGCTTTCCCACAAGATGCTTTCCTTCAGACCCCCAAAGGAGCTCACTCCTTCCTCAGGGTCTTAACATGTGCTGGCCCTGCTGCCCTTACCCTAATGCCTACTATTTTGGCCTTTATAGCAGCTTTAAGAGGTTGTCTCTGATGCCCCACAGTCGATTTCCTTAGGACATGCTCTCATGGCACTTGACAGCACTTTTCACCATTGCCATTGTCAAGTTATTTGGATGACCAGTTATTTCTCCCATTAGACCAGAAGCTCCAAAAGGGCAGTATCCCAAATGCTTATCATATCTGCCAAACACCATCAGCTGCTCAAACCTTTTCCCCCAGAGAAGCCACTGGGGGACCCTCACCAAATCTCATCAGCACTGTATTAGCCAGTGTGTATGTGGGGAAAGAGTGTATCTAAGGAAGAGTGGTCCAGCTATGCATGTTCTTAACATCCCAACTGGAACTGAGAACAAATTTCCCAATAAACAGAACGACCAAAGTCACTTCAGCTCTAGAATACAGTCATTACTTATGTCTTAAGTCATTTAATGTGATCGTTTAAAACACAGGATCACGAGGTCAAGAGATCGAGACCATCCTAGTCAATGTGGTGAAACCCCGTCTCTACTAAAAATACAAAAAATCAGCTGGGCATGGTGGCGTGTGCCTGTAATCCCAGCTACTCAGGAGGCTGAGGCAGGAGAATTGCCTGAACCCAGGAGGCGGAGGTTGCGGTGAGCCGAGATCGTGCCATTGCACTCCAGCCTAGGTAACAAGAGTGAAACTCCATCTCAAAAAAAAAAAAAACAAAAAAAAACACAGGATCTAGCATCCAAAACTGGGGTCTACTTCTTACTTGCAATGGAAGCTTGGGTGAGTTTCCTGATCTAAGATGCAACATTTTCCTTAGATCGTACTGTTTAACATTATTGTGAAGATTAGTGAAATAGCTCTCAACACAAGGTCTGGCACTGAGTAAGCCTGTAATAAATGGTAGCTGTTGTTATTATTAATACATACTGTTATATATTACCATTCATAATTATATACTTATATATATATTTCTGTGGGTTATTCTGGGAACCTAACTATTCGTTATCATCTTCTTTAAAAAAAAAAAAAAACTGCTATTTTCAAACAGCCAACTTAAAAACCAAGTTTTAGACTACAATCCACCTGAAAGTTGGTAACTGTTCACGAAATTTCAAGGTGCCTACAAAGCTCTCAGATGGCGGAAAAAGAGGAGGGTGCTGCATGTGTTTTTGATGGAGGGATTAAAAAGCTGTACTCATGTTAAAAATCACACCTCCAGCATGGGGTACATAATGAACATCAACCTACATATCTTTTCTTTCCCCAAGTAAGTTCTCACAGGGAGCAACAGCCCACCCTATGAATAAACGGAATTGTATTTGAAGTAATTACACTTGGCATAGATTTGCCCACTGCTGGTGGCAGGGCTGCTACTTGTGGCTAAGCAGTGAGGGGAGCTCGACAGAATTGATGGCAAACTGCTTTAATTTGCTTTAATAGCAGCAAAATCTTGCCTACAACAAAGTTGGACATTTCAAGAATAATAAACCCACACAGTTAAAGTTCTATGACTGTTAAACCAGTATTCAAACAGGCCAGGAATTAGTTTTCAGCCTCTTTTAGTGAGTTTCTGTATCTTTAAGGTCATAAATGTTATTTTGTGAAGCCAAGCTGATGGTCTTCTGGAGGAGGCCTAGACGTGCTGGTGTTATTAAAATGTTGGATAACATTTCAGTTTATTCATGCCGTGAGGTCTGTCCCTTCCCATATCCCACACCCCCAAAAGGTTTAACCACCAAAGGACATTTAGAAATAATAAGGAGAAATGTGAAAGTACTAATGATGATTTCATTTTCAAATGGTCTTAAACGGACAAGTAATGACAGCATTGCCTATAATGGCCCTGTAGCCAACTCATAAGCAGCGATGGGGAAGACGATGGACTAGGAGGATTCTCCTCTCTATAATACATGCACTGTGGCTGAATGCAAAGAAAACCCAGATAAAAGTAAAAGGTCTTCCCCGTGCCTGAGTGAGTGGCCTTTGTGAAGGATGAGTGAGAACCTAAAGCCTTACACATCATAAAATCACAGTATGTGTGGATTGATTACCATTCAGAAGTTAATTGCACATTATTAAATGATTATGTGAAAAGCCTCTAAAATCGAGTTTTGTCATATCAGATCATATATCATATCATATATCATATCATGGTCCTAGAGGTATGTAATGGCTGTGGCTATAAAGCAGACTGTGAAACTGAAATCTTAGACTTATCAGACTAATTTAATTGATGTCAACTGTCAAAGAGGAGGATTTTGGCCAGCAACTCCAATTTTAGCTAGGATTGAAGACCCTGAAAGAGAAAGAGTTCAAGTACTACTCAGGATTATAACTTCAGTTTAAGGTCTGAATAACTGGTTTTGATATCTAAATTGAATAGGTTAATAAGAGAATTTTTATCACAACCACAAACTGTATAATGAAATAAAGCAATGAGAGATTTTTATCAAAGCATTTCAATGTGATGGCGAATCAATTATAATATTAATTTTTACCAGACAGCATCAAATCCGGCCACTTTTAGATCTCCAATATTGGTTATAAGCACCAACATTTAGACTGAAGGAAGAACTGTTTAACAGATGGAGCATTTCCTCCTTCCAGTATTTAGGAGTGAGGCTATCTGACTGAAGTCTTATTTCCCTGCTTATAAACTAAGGTCTTTGCCCAGGAGACTATTTCGAAAATGTACCAAAGGTTAATATGTTTGCATATATTACAAATGTTAAGCAAAATGGAATGTTAATATCTTCTCTTCTTCATTACAAAGAAACGGCAGGAATGACTGCACACAAAGGACAATTTACCAGCTGTTCTTATTCTTATTACCATTTAGGTCCCTGCAA